AAATAATATTATACCCCCTAAATATCAGAAAAAACTCTGTGCTTTCAGACAGCTTTGGTACAATTAAAACTCATTAAAATCTCAGAAGGTTGAGTCAATTTATGAGAAAGGAGATGTGTTTACTTTATTTTAGCAATCATTCAAATTCAAGGCCAAATATGGCCCTTCATAACACCTATGTTAGCCCCAAAATAATATTTTTTAAAATAAAAACATTTTTATTGCTTCTCATTTTGCTTAACAACTTGCCATATTTTATTTACTTCTCATGGCTGTTGGCCAATTTTGAAGCAAAAAAATAAAAAAAATAATAATTTGTTTAAAATTTTCAGTAATCTTTGATTTTGATGCTGAAGGAGCATCAGAGAACATCACAGAACTGATTAATGAGGAACACGTCAGGTATCTGACTAAAGTTAATATTTTGACAAAAACTGGCCCTGGATTTACAATATTTTGTTGACCCCATTTGGTAACTGAGTTTGACACCCCTGAAGGTTTTCATTCAATATTCTTTTATAATATACACAAAAGTTTTATTCTTCTTCATTTGATAAACCTCTTAATGACATTCTGTTCTGAATATGGTGAAATCGCTAAATAATTTGAATATCTGTTGAGCTTAAGCTAATGTTTTCATAATGATCTCCAAAAATACCCAGCCTTTTGAACCTTCCTCATCTTACTAACCTGTTGCCAGGGCAGACATAGTTTTCATGTACAAATACAAATGAAGTTGCACACTTTGTTAAAAAAATAAATACTAGAAAAAATAAAAAAAATGAAGAGGAAAATAAATCAAAGTTCATATAGTCTCAATCAGCAAAATACAAGTGTTAACACCTAGGGTTATTTTTGATCATCTAAAAATAACTATTTTTTTTTCATAACTTTTGCTGACCGTTTTCTTTTTTTCTTCGAGGCACAAGGCTCCTTTCAAATCAACATTTTTCCTGTTGTTACCTTTCCTGTCCTTCAGCCATCACTAGAATGAGTCTCTTGAGTCAGGTGCTAAATATATATTTTAAGCCTTGATGGAAAAAAAAGTTGACAGTGCAAGTCAACAAGTGCTGATGCTCCATCCTGCAAAAGATCCTGCACAGCTGAAGAGTTTCAATAATAAATTCATGGTAAAAACAAGCTGTATGCCGATGTCCTCCGTTGCTGAGTGATTTGAATAGTCATTGTTTGTAATTTTGGAGATGAGAGTTTTTATGCAGTGAAATTGGAAAGGGAAAATATTCAAGTAGGTATAGGATCTACAACGTGGAGAAGAACTGAGGTAGGTTATTTCATTTTTATTTTATTGCTTGATGGAGGGGATTTCCAATCCCCCTGTTTGCTCTGTGACGTGGAACAAATAGCTGTACTTGTGAAACTAGTAGAACCACACCAACAACACAACTATTTCATGACCACAAACTGCTTATAATGAGCTGCATGCTATTTTCTGAAATGCTCAGCCCCTCCTTAGAGACCCATCGTTCTATAAAAGCTTTCACCACCACCACTTTGTTGGTTGAGCTACACCCATACTCACATATATAGATACACACCCCACAAGATGGAGACAGCGGAACAGAACACCAACACACTGGAAAGTAATTTATGTGTCAGAGTCTGGATGTCTTTAAGTTCCTGTGAAGTGTAATGGATGAGACATTTATGAGTCTGGGTCTAGAACCATGAAACTACTTTGGTACTATTAAGACGCGCATGAGGTAAAAATATTACTTTTCTCCTATGTTAAGGATCTCCTGCACGAGGATCCTCAAGAGGCTCATGAATAACCCAGATCTGGATGACTTGCTTTGCGACACATCAGCCAGGTGCTGCGTACATCTCAGGAATAATTTAGTGCAGCTGCATACTATACAAGATGAACTGCTGAATGGACGGGAGAAAAACTGAAATAACATGTCAACATTGTTGGGTTGGGAGTTTTGGATTCTGTTTTTTGGAAAATCATCCATGACTACGTAAATTGAGTATGTTTGTTATAATTTTAGCATGATGCAAAAGTGTTTAATAAGGTGCACAATGTTTAAACAAGCAGTCCCGTGCAAAAGTCTTCAATCTTTGCTTGTATTTTTCTTAGGGTTTGCTTCCAAAGAGACAGAATTTCTTGCAATCCATGAAATTCTTAAAAATCAAGGAAGGTGATTTTAATTCATTCATTCAACCTTTATTTACAGGTTAATCCCATTGAGCCTCAGGGACTCATTTACAAGAGAGACCTGCTTTTAACAAAGAATGATGGCAACAGTGGACGGTAAAAGAAAGCATGCAAATTGAGAACAAGTGAAAAAAAAAATGGCATTAAAAAAAGATACAAAAACAGCTAGATTGTAAGGCGATGTAGAAAACTAAAAACAGGAACATCTGCACTGGTTTTTGCCAGGAACTTAACAGATGTTTAAAGACACTTAGAGAGGTCAAGGTCGAGAGCTTCAGATCTTTTTGCACGATATTCCAGGAAACAGGAGCGGAGCAGGAGAAGGCCCTTTTGCCAAGTTCAGTCTGCACTGAGGGAACACTGCAGGTAATAATGTCCTGAGAGCGCACGCTGTAGCTGCACTCACGCAGAGACGTGTAGGAGGAGATGTATGAAGGCAGCAGACCAAGAAGTGATTTAAAGATGAAAATGTATCAGTGAGAGAGTCTGCGTGAAGTTAATGATGACCAGTTAACCAGTGAATACAGGGTGCAGTGGTGGGTACGGTAGTTACAGCCAGTTACAAGGTGTTTCCTAGCATTCAGAGTTAGACAAGATCTATTTCTAAAATAAAATTAAAAAAACAGCTTAACTTTCAGTTTCCTTACCAAGTTTTCCCTGTATGACCTGTGTCAGAGCTTAGTCCGCATTGCCGGCAGTAAGTCGGGCTCACTCCTGGTGAGCGTTGGACTCCGCCAAGGTTGCCCTTTGTCGCCAATTCTGTTCATAACTTTTATGGACAGAATTTCCACTTTTGTGGATATTCAGTCTGTGGTGGCCAGTGTTCTTTTTGATATCTTGAAAAAACAATATCCTGTTTTTGGTTCAACGTACACGTGTTGTTTGGTGGTTGACATGTAGGTGTTTTTTAAATATATATATTTATTTTTTTCTTCCTAAAACCCTGCAAGTGCGCAACACCAGCTGTCAGATATTACCTGGCTGCTGGAGCGTGGTGCATCCATCACTGATGCCTTGATTTCAGTCAACAGGAGTCGGAGGTTCTGAGTTTTGAAGTGTCCGATTCTTCAGCCTGCATGCATGCGGAACTGCTTTTTGTACTAAATGTCTACTTCTGCAACATACAAGTGTGTTTTTGTTGTTTACATCCAAACTAAACATTTTTTGTCACACAAGACGAGAGACAGAACTCGATAGCAATGCCCAGCTGGGAAAAATGGAAAGATTAGGAAATTAGGTTGAGGGGATCACTGGTGCCCATATCCTGCAGTCACCGTGCGAGAGGCGGAGTACACCCTGGACAGGTCCAGTCTATCACAGGGACACAAAGTAGCTGAAAATAGACATAAAAGCAGAAATCCTTTGGTTGTTGTTTATGAACGAGGGCATCGCCTCAGATTTTCTGATTCCTCTTTTTTAGCTGTTTCACAAAACAAGCACTTTTGTGATTCTGCTTTTACACACCGAGACTGTGGAACGGCCTGCCGGAGGGCCTGAGAGGACTCCGTAATCCAGATGCTTTTAAAATGTAGACTAAAGACCCATCTGTTTGATCGGGAGTTTACTCAGGATAGATCATTTATTTTATTTTTTCCACTGTAAAACATTTTGAATTACATTTGATTTGTATGAATGGTGATATAGAAATAAAGCTTCGATTGACTGATTGGATCAGCAGAAAAGTAGCTGAAAAACCAAAAATAGCTGAAATTACCAGAAAGAGACTGATAGGAGCATAAACATGAGAAATTATTAGAAAGAAGCTGAAAGGAGTTCAAGTTCTTTATTGTCATTCATGTCACATGTGGTACATGAGGTGGAACGAAATTGTGTACCCGAGGTCCCAGTTACATCCCAAAAATAACAAAAATATAAAGTATAAAAAGAGATTGTATACAAGGATCTAAGATATATGCTAAACACTAATAATGTAAAATAATATGGTGTATTAAACAGCAGCCTGAGCATGAGTCTGTAGTGAGCAGCAGGGTATGAATACAGCAGCATAAAGGCAAGAGATCAGCAGCATGGATAATCAGCAGCACAGATAAGTCACATATCACCAATTAAAGTGGCATTGCAGTGATTTTCTTTTTCTTCCTTATTTTCTTGGCTAGAGGTTTGTGAGTCTAACAGCTTCAGGGTAGAAGCTGTTCCTCAGTCTAGTGGTTCTACACTTAATGCGCTGCAACCTCCTGCCTGAGGGGAGCGGGGCAAAGGGTGTGTGTGCTGGGTGAGCGGGGTCCTTCATGATGCAGGTGGCCCTCTTCCTGCATCTGGAGGTGTAGATGTCTGTGATGGTGTGGAGGCTGACTCCAACAGTCTGCACCACTCTCTGCAGAGCTTTCCTTTCTGCAGCTGTGCAGGAGCATAAAAAGCTGAAATTAGCAGAAAGAAGCCGAAACAGAACAACAGCTGAAATGAGCAGTAAAATGTTGCAAACAGCTCAAAGAGCTTGAAGGATGTGAAGAGAGCTCCATTAATTTTCAGTGTGAGAAACATGTCCGACAAAGCTAAATGTTGTTAAAGTTAAAATTGCACAAATTACCAAAAGTCAGAGCAGGGGTGTTTTAAATGAGCTGAACGTTTTGAGGCATGAATTGCTGAACAAAAACCGAGGAACGAATTTCAGAACAGAGATGGATCTGAACACAGAATGATTCAGAAACATTCAGGCTGCTGTCTATTCCATGATCTTTACTCGCTGCTTGCGTGTTTCCATCATTTGTGGGATATTTGGGTTTTAGCACCAGGGACAGCACCAAACACGAGGCTTAGCGCCTTCTTTCTGTTTCCCATGTGACTCAGGGGGGGGTCACAGCCCCTCCACCCACCCACACCCCCTCCAGCTTCCACCTCCACATCCACTCTCTTTCTTTCTCCTCGCGGGGACGCAGGCAGGCAGCAGGTCGGTGATGTGGAGGAGGAGGAGGGGGGGAACAGAGACGCAGCTGCGGATATCCGTCTCGTACCTGCCACAAAAAAACGGGGTCTTTTGGCGTCTTCCCTTGTGGTATTTATTTATTTATTTATTTATTTATTGTCCCCCACGCTTGCTGACGGTTCGGTGAGAAGCCTACAAAGATAGTCTGGTTTTGTAACCAGTGCAGCGCGGAGGGAAAACAACCAAACAAACACAATTGAAAATACTTTTTTATTTTTATTTTTTTTAAACCAAGGAGGCGGATTTAAAGCAGAGCAGCGGCACCTGGGATTTTTTTTTTTTTTTTAACCGTTACATTTCAAATTAGCGTAGCCGCGCGCGTGCCGTGGTAGCACACGGAGAGATTTTTTTTTTATGCCTGATTAAAAAAAAAAAAAAAAAGAAGAAGAAGAAAAGACCCCTTTTTTTTTTAGTCCTACGATAGACCTCGTCCTCGTTACCAGAAGAAAGAAAAACAAAGGGTAAGTGGAATATTCTTTTTGTTTTTCTCCTCCCCACCGCCAGCTAACGTCCAGGTAACCGCTGTTAGCTAACGCTGCTCGCGTTTTCTGCAACAATGGTCGTCGTGAATCCACCTACATGGATAAATGTGAGCTGCCCGGCTGGGAAAACTAAGCGAGTGACAGCAACGCCTGGCGTGGGGAGCCATCTCTCCGGGCGTCTGTCTCTCCTCCTTTGTTTGAATCCATGTCAGCCACATTTTTATCTGCGTGTTTTTTCTGTGGGAGCTTCAGCATCTGCTGCTAAACCAGCTACCAGCCAAGCCTTGTTGCTCCTCACTGCTTATTATTATTATTATTATTATTTAGAGCAGCTCAAGCTTAGTTTTTACACTGTTAGCTTGTTTGGTTGCGTTGTGATGTTATTATGATAGGATTGTGATTTGCCCTGCATGTTTCTGAGGCATAGCAAGGATTCATCATCAGCAGGTATGATGTTTTTGTTTTGATGACCATATTGTTGCCACCTCATTAGAAACAGTGCTGATGACCACGTGCTTTAAAATAAACCCAGTAAAAGTGTTAGAGTAAAAAAAAAAGGACAACTTGACATTTTTTGTATATTTAGTAGAGTAGATTGAGAATACAAAAAAAGGGGGCCAAACTTAAAGACTACAAGCCACGGGCCAATTTTAGATCTAGTCACATCTTTTCTTGATTTACAGGTTAATCAAGATGTGGTTGATTGGTTTCATGTGATCTCAGGTTTCATGTGACATTCTCTGTTGCCCTTCCATGTCAAAATCAGAGATTACTGAAAAATCCGACTATTTTTATGGTTTCGTGGTTAGCAAACTGTCATAAGAAGTCTGCACTAGATGAAGTGAGAGGCAATACAAATATTTTACATTTATAATGTTTTTTGCAGGGAGGGGGGTAGAAGACATGTTTACAAGAGCCGGATTTGGCCCACTGTTAGTACTAACAAACAAAAACTATAATCAAGAATTACTGTCAGTCCACCCATATAAACATTTACAGAAGGTTGAAGTAGTGTTTCAAAACTGATATTAAAACGAGACTTCCATCCATCAATCAGTTCACCAATTAATCAATCCATCAGTCAGTCAATCAATCAATTAATCCATCAATCAGTCAATTAATCCATCAATCAACCAGTCAGGTCTTGGGGGTAGCAGCTTGAGTAAGAGGCCCAGATATCTCTTTCTACAGCTAGCTCTTCTGGGAGGACTCCAAAGTGTTCCCAATCAGCTGAGAGACGCCCCAGTCTGTCCTGGGTCTTCCCAGTGTCCTCCCAGTTGGACATGTCCTGAAAACATCCCTAGGGAGACGTCCAGGGGATACCTGAACCACCTCAGCTGACTCCTGTCCATGTGGAGGAGCAGCGGCTCTACCCCGGGTCTCCCTGGAGAACGTATCACCCTATCTCTAAGGGAGAGTCCAGCTCCCCTGCTGAGAAACCATATTTCAAGTGTAAACGCGACATTGTGTAAAATAGGCCACAAATATATTTACCAAATTGGGCCAAACATATCATTTTAAGTCAAGAATGTGCAATGCAGAACAGAGAAATATAGAGGACCCCCCCCCCCACACACACACACTTGGATAAAGGCAAATGTGGAAGAGTTAAACTTATTTAAAAGCTGTTTAAAGCCTGGAGAGGTATGTGGGTATAGTTTAAGCGGCAAACATATCTAATAATAATAAAACCACCTAACAGTTATTTTGGGCCTGAACAACCTGTCAGGAAATGGTTGGATAGTTGATATTTCAGATATTTTTGTCAAACTGACCAGTTTTTTCTGTAGGCTCCTGAAAACGCTTTTGATTTTTTTTTTTTTAACCTCACTATAACCGGCGGCTGGTTTTATAGAAGAACTACAGGTTGGGTTTGAAATAATCTGATGCAATATTTAAATATCCCCCCACCCCCACCATATCAGCCACTCCTTGTGACCTGGAAACTGGTTTTATATCAAAGATTAATTTGGACCAGTTTCTGTTTGTTTGGTTGAGAGTTTGAATTTTTAATGCATGTATGTTTTAGTGATAAAGAAGTGTGATCAAAATTAAAATAAACTATATATAATTAGCTCTTATATTGATTTTTGTGTATTGAATGTAATTATTATCAGGGAAAAGAAAGCAAGTGGGCTTTATTTCTTATAAAGGACTCCCCACTTTCTGTATTTGTTAGTTTTAGTTGATTAGGAGCTATTCCTATAATCTGTTCATCCATGTTAGGTGCTACACTTACATAGGATTTCCTCAGGAATGTATTACTTTGCTAATATTATTTTCACTTGAAAAAAAATAATTCTACTAGAATCGCCTTTCAAATCATTTTTCAGCCGCTGATTAAAAGTGAACCCATATGCAGTTCATTGTAATTTAAGTTTTTCATTTAAATGTTATCTAAATAGTTGTCCAACAAGCAAACTCAAAGGCTAATGTGGTCACCTTTTTAGTGGACATATATACAATATGAAAGTGTACAAAAAAAAATCCCAGATTGATAAAAAAAAAAAAAAAGCCCACCTGTTTTAATCCAAATGAATAAATAAAGGATTTAGTTTTTAACTTTAATTTTTTTCACATATCACAAGTAGCTACATTTTTCTGGATTTATCTAATTAATAATAACATGTATCAATAAAACTAGTTAGAAAATACAAAATTTTTATATCTAGTAAATAAACTACAGAATAAATGTTTGAGCTGCTCCGTACATTGGTTTATGTATTGGAAAGTAGAGATATTTTGATATTGTTGGATCAAGTTTGTGTTTAAACAAATTCATATGTCGGTTTGAGTTAGTTAAAAAATACACAGAATAGTCTTAACTGAATCCAGGTACTAATGTCCAAACGTTATGCTGCAGTCACCTCTCCTGCTTCTCTCATTCTGCATGTTGTAACCTTTTATCAAGTCTAAAAACAGAATTCCTGACAATGTTTCAGTGAACAGGTCAACCGGTTTCATTCGGTGGTCTGTGTGTAAAATAAAAACGACCACTAGAGGGCGATATGAGGACCTGCTGATTCTCACCTGCTTCGTTGCTTTTGAGGATTTGCATCAGGTGTAAGGTTAATGCAGGCCACATGCTTAATTATTAACAGCATCTTTTCAGAGGTGTGACTGAAATGTGGCTTCATGGTCTGTTTAACGCGATGAAAACAAGCGAGCGAGACCATGATGCTGTGTAATTTTGTGCTGAAACATCCAGTTTGCTTGGATAGATTTACTGTCTGTGATGCATTACTTCTGTGCCTTTCTTTGCTTATTTAGGATTTTTGTGTAAACATCAGCTTTGAGCTGCCTTCTGTCAGACTTTTTTTGGGGAGAAAAGTTGAATTTGCCTTAAATGAGTGATTTGCTGAGCGCACCTTGTCACATACATTAGCAGTGCATTGTCTGTTAAATTTGGTGTGTTTTGAGATAAAAGGGATCTCTTAGTTAGTTGTAGGTACAAATTGGGCTCATGTTATAGTCTGCAAAGTAACTACTTTTAATTCATATTCATTTTCTTAGTGTAAGTTAATCATTGCTTCTCTAAAGAATGCCACAGAGATTATATGTGTTGTATTTATTGCTTCAGGATGAGCTGTGGAGCCTTTTTGATGGAGGTCAGGTCATGTTGTTTGATGGATTATAAATGGCCATTTGCTGCCATAGTGCCAGGCTAGATAATTAATACTCACTAACCCCTTCCTGTCTAATATGGCTGCATTGATGATATTTTCTCAGAGCTGCATCTGGTCATTGACGCATGAACCAATGAAGTCCAGGGGCAGTATGGGTTCTCACAATGCAGCATGTCCTCGCTAAATCAAATAAAAAGTGACGTATACCTTGATGATCTTGGTTTTGAAGCATTGGGTAGAAAACGTGTCAAACATCCTTCTCATACAGTTATTTTTTTTTTAACAATAATGGCAGGTGTGTGTTGAGATACAATTGGCTCCCACAGCTTTGACTCTCAAAATCTTTCGTCAGTAATTAATTTTAATAATTCTTTTGTTTCGTGGTGTTCATAGCTTTATTATGCTGCTGCGAACCACACTAAGATTGTAATTGTAAACACCTTAACTCCACATTTGACTTTTATGTTCAAATACAATGCGTCTCGTCTGTAATGGGTAGCTATTGTGCTTGTTTTACTTTTAACTTAGTTTGATAAACATAAAATACCCTGAAAACAAAAAGGCATGAGGTGATTCTTTAGTGTGAAGTCCACAAAGTGGCATTATTGATGGCCCTAACCCCTAATTTTTCCTTATTAATCTGCTTGTTAGATCGGAGACAGAAGCTCTGATAAACTGAAGCTAATGTCCGGAAAGAAAACAAATGATCAGTTTAGTCATATCAAACAAATTCAATAAATCTGCAGCATCATTTCCATGAAACCTAAAATATTCCTTTGCAGTTTTAGAAAGGCTCTTTGAATCCACTTTTAATAATGTAGCATTAGAACTTGTGGGAGTTGTTAAATTTTTTTTGATGAATAATTAAAGAAATGCTTTTGTGGGTTTTTAATACAGTTTTACAAGTAGGCTTATATTAAAGTATATGTTAGTCACTAACATGATATAAAAGCTGCAACAGTAAAAATTGGCTCCTCGGATAACCTCATTAAAGAAGCTCTGTGAGAATACTTAAATATTTGTGCTGCAGATTTCATACTTAGGTCACAGTTTTGTGAGTAAAATGTTAGGATTTTTTGTTTTGTTTTCAGAATGTCAGGCTTACCTGCAAATAATTTCATCAGTGAAGCCGGAAAAAAATATAATTTTGCTGAAGAAAATGAGAAAACGAAACATTTTTTGCTGGCATCTTGTTACGCCTCTGAGTTGAGTAAAAGCAATAAAATATATATTTACAACCAGAGAAAGATTTACCTCAAGCATTTTTGCATTCAGAACAAAATATTTGTAACGTGTTTTCAAAATTATACAAACGGTAAATGGATTGTACTTACATAGCGCCTTTCTAACTAG